AATCCCAGTTCTTATTAATTACTACTTATCAACTCTTGAAGGAAACATTCCATGTTGACTCTCCAATAACAGAACCCAAGGTCTTCGCAATGTATTAGCTGGATTATCAAAGCCAAATATAAAGTCTCCACTGCTAATTGCTACCAGCCCTGGAGACTTTATATTTGGCTTTGAGAATCCAGCTAATACATTGTGAAGACCTTGGGTTCTGTTATTGGAGAGTCAACATGGAATGTTTCCTTCAAGAGTTGATAAATAGTAATTGATAAGAACTGGGATTGCTACACGCTCAGATAAAGCAAACATTGTAAAACGAATTGTTCATTGTGCAATATTCGTTAGCGTGTGAGCGATAATAGATGAACATTTTCTACAGAAATTACTACAGTAAACGTTTTGCGACTTATTTTTATTGACTCTTCGTTATTTTTGTCACGGATGTTTTTTTTTGGAATTCCACTTCCTCCCGTGATCTCTCAGTTTTGGCTTCTAGTTTCCATAAAGGGAGCTGGTTAAGGATCAGTTTATCAGAGGTGAGCTTAAGCTATTTGGTTTTTTGCCAACTTCAGACGTGCTGTATGTCTCTCTTTTGTTCAGGTGAACTTTCACCACAACCGGCAAAAATGGTTGCTTGTTCCTTTATTTGGCCCTCACTTTCCGAATCCCTCACTTCCTCTCTGTTAGATGTCATCATACAGCTAAAGCCAACAAGGAGATGATGGCAAACCGTGACTATGGGATTCCTTATTGGCTGGGCTATATTCGATTCCACTGGCCCCTTCGGAGGCCAACGAGATTTGGGGGGGAATAAGTTTTCAAGAGTCCAAGCTCCCTTCATCAGATTATTGGTTGGTTCACCATCTTGACTGACCCAGGATATAGGAAGAAATACAATCAAAATAGCTGCAGAAGCACCTATGCAAATGCCAGCACATGACTCTCTGGAGGAGCTATGAAGTGAACAGTCAGCATTTCCATAATCCAAGTGGCATGGAGGGAGAATTTCCACCCCACCGAAACTTTTAACCACTAACTGCCTAGCCAGCATGGTTTGAAGCCAAAGGGTCTCTCGAAGCTTAGTCTATCAAGGACAGGTCCCACATGAGATATGGTCTAAGGAAATAAGGGCTAGTCCCTATATTAAATGTAGCAACTCTTGAGAAGAGTCTTTAGAAACCAGGAAAATAACATTACAACATAAAGAAAACTTGTAGACAACACCAGTTAAGCTGCTTCTGAGGAAGTCAAGAGACGAAACCAAGTACAAGCCGGCTGCTTTGTAAAGCTTTATAAGCCTTATATTCTTTTGACTGCCAACAGCAACTGTTTTGGAATTCCACTGTTATCTTCTGGCTGTTGGCAGCAATTGACATTTTGTTGTATTATTATGTTATTGTAAAACATTAAGATATTGTATGGCTAGATTGTATAAACTTGTGAAAATTTTGTATACTTAGATACTACTATCAAGTATAAAAGCAATTGTATTAAGCATACATAACTGATGTTCTAGAATGTATTATTGAACTGATATTGGCCCCAGTTTTGTTTTCTTAGATGTCAGCCTCATCACCGAAGACAGCGGTGGTGGTGGTGACGCTACCGAAGACAGCGGTGGTGGTGGTGACGCTACCGATGGACCCAGCTCTGGGCATGTCCAGCAGGCCCCCCCCCCAAGACGCTGGCAGTATCCCTGTGTTCTCATAATGGAAGATGCTTGAGACGATGTTGCCAAAGAAAAGGCAAAACACCCGTCTGCCGATGTGCGCCCTTAAAATAAGAAACCACTCCTGGTTCCCTTTGGTTCTCTCAGGGAGTTTCCAGGCATAAGAACATAAGAACATAAGAGATGCCAATGTTGGATCAGGCCAAAGGCCCATCCAGTCCAACACTCTGTGTCACACAGTGGCCAGAAATACCAGGTGCAATCAGGAGGTCCACCAGTGGGGCCAGGACATTAGAAGCCCTCCCACTGTTGACCCCCCCCCCCACACCAAGAAGACAGAGCATCCCTTGCCCCAGCCTGAGACTTCCTATCTATGCCTTGTGGCTAATAGCCACGGATGGACCTCTGCTCCATAGAAGAACATAAGAAAAGCCAAAGTGGACAGAGGCACTCCTGTGGCAGTGAACTCCACGTGTCAATCTCTCTTTTAGTGAAGAAGTACTTCCTTTTATCTGTAATAACCCAACTGTCAGCAATTTCATGGAGTGCCCACGAGTTCTTGCATTGTCAGAAAGGGGGGAAAGTACCTCTTTCTCAACCTGCTCTTTCCCATGCATAATCTTATAAACCTCAATCATGTCACCCCTCAGTCGTCCTTTCTCCAAGCTAAAGAGCCCCAAGCGCTTTAACCTTTCTTCGTAGGGAAAGTGTTCCAACCCTTTTATCATTCGAGTTGCCCTTTTCTGCACTTTTCCCAAAGCTATAATATCCTTTTTAAGGTGTGGTGACCAGAACTGCACACAGTTCTGCATCCTTCGGGTGGATGCCCCGCCACGCTGGTTCGGT